TCAATTACAGCCTTCATTTTATTTCATTTTATTCTGTTTGTTAAATAAAAAATCAGTTAGGTCATTTAACATATAAAACATTACTTGAGATCGAAATGCTGACCCGGGATCTTGAAGAATCAGCTTAAGCGTAAGTCGATCAAAATCTTTAGTCAAGCAGACCAGAAGGGTTATAGGTTTAGGGATATTTCAATATTGTTTCTCAGGGATGTTGTTATGTGCAAATGAAGAAATAAATTCCATAATTAATAGATATTTTAATGATTCGCGTTTGCAAAGTTCAATTTAGTCTCACTTTGTTTCATGATCCTGGAGACAGGGGCTTCAATTAAAAGTTTTTTGTACGTAATTGTACACAATATTGATTGCACATGGTCTCTTGAAGACATATTATCGAACGAAAGAAATTATATAAAAAATATATTATTTCTTTCCGCTTTATGAATATAAGCAAACCACGTTAGACAAGCTTTTTAGGAAAGCTAATACTTGTATACATTTTTTAATTGTAGGGAAAAATTTATTCATCAAATAAATATCATATAGGTAAACAAAAAGCAACCTATTATTATCTAACACAATATGATACTACAAGTTACTAGAATTCATCTTTATCTTTTTAACACATTTTTTTCATTATAGAGTATTAGTATTAGGATAAGTTATTACCATGAGTAATAAGTATCATAGATAAAATAACTAATAGAAAAGTGTGACATATTGTCTAGAACCAATCAGATATTGAGTTGTGTAGCATATTATAATGAAGAGTTAAGATAGCGATATAAAAAAATGCGTAAAATAGACAACAGAAGGTAAAATCTACCCTGACTATCATATAGTATAATACAGAAAGTGGTTACAGTTTTATGAAATTCCAATGTCCGATGAGGAATTACATTCCTAAAAAGTAAGACAAGAGTTTCCAAAGCGAAATTAAACACTTCATTATTTCAGTTTGTTCATTAACATGTTCATAAACGTAAAAACTATAAGAAATTTAAAGACTTGACTATATAATTCATATTTAAATATGGCTGTACCTCGATCTTTATTGATAAATTCAATGTATTACAAGCTCAAGATTTGACTTTTACCCCCACCCCTTAAAAAACAAAGAGAAAATCCTGTTCACATGACTTGTCGCTCTCAATTTTCAAACAAATGCATAAAATAAAGGTAAAATACCATATTTTGTATCGATAAAATGCAAACAAAAAATTTACAGTGTCTTTTAATAAAAATTTCCATGCTAAATTGACATACAAAAAACATAATCACCTTCAATTAGCTATTTTCAACCTGTTTTCCCGTGGTTATTAATTTAATCTTATTTTATTTTCCTCTTTATAATATGATTGGTATTCTTTTATGGCAGAGATATACAATTATGACTTGCTTATACAGTACTGTACTTTCTAACTGTTAGGAATAATTTATATTTCACGTGAGAGGGACGCCATACACTTTTCAGCAAAAATACATAACACGGCGTTAGTTATTTAATTTCTTTAAAGTTTCACATTTTGTGAATAGTGCACAAATTAGAAAATTTAGTATATGGAATACTTTAATGGGCAATAAAGACAAACGAAGTGTAGTTATTTGTTTTTAGAAAATATGTTGAGAAATAATAACGCCATTGTGCCTTATTTGTCACCCCAGCAGTGTTTTTGTGTGCGATTTTAAGCTTATTTGGCAACCGTATAAATTAGGTTTTATAAAAATAAAGCAACAAGATACTGATGCACAAGTAACAGTAACTGGCATAATGCACCGTTGCTTTATTCTTAGGTTTTTATAGAAAGTTGCACGGAATACAAGATTTCGCGGATTCAGGGATACCCTAATATGGAGTATTATACGCGATTTCAAGGATTATACCCGATTTTGAGTATTCTCTCCGACCTGTCTAAGGTAAAACTGTGGTTAGTTCATGAATAATTTTAAAGGTTTCAGAAGACAATGCATCGAAAATGGAACGCGAACTTCAAGGGGATATATTCAAAAGTTGGCATGGAAACTGTTAAATCATGAGAACAAATGGAATACCATATGGCAACATTAAACCATTTCTACAGAACCTACAGGATAATTACGAAGGTATGCCCAATATGTACATTTATAAATACAAAAAATACCAGATTTGAGAAAGGTTAATTTCTATGCAATAGTGTTTAAAATTAATGTGCGATTTTGGTATTGCTCATATCTAATGCTCAGTAACAAATAAATTTAACACAACGAGTAAGGGGGAAGAGTAGGTAAAAGGTATAGAGGAGTCGTTTTCAGCGAATTGGTGAGTAAATTTTCGCCGCTTTTGAGTCAGGAGAGATATGGGTCACATCTTTTTCGGTTTATGACAACTTATTTACAAAAAAAATAATCCACGGAAGGTAGCAATTAGTTGAACTTTCTGTCATTAGTTTGGCCAGCACAAACGCCTAGTTTTCGCAAACACTTTGAAACTATTCGACAGATTTCATATTTACGTTGATCGAGTGGTTAAAACATGCATTATCTGCACAATCTACGACCTGTGTACAAATTTGATGGTTAAAACAGCAAAAGCAAACGTTAATCTTTCACATGCAGTAAATTAAACATGTCTAGACTTGTATATATCTTCGGAGCACTTGTGCTTTGAGGCAGCTTCTGTCCCTAATGCCTAGGTCACATTTCCCGGTCGGTAGCCGTAGACCGGTGGTAATCGGTGGTAATCCGTGGTGTTAGCGATGCCCCAACATCGGTCCACATCGGCCGACTATTCCTTAAAGTAGCAGTCACATTATCCAGCGATGGGTATACGATGGGCAACCGATGAGTTTTATGATAAAAATGGCGTGGTTGCCGGCCGGACTTACAAAGGCCCTGCGATGCATTGCTAATCAAAAAACGATATTCCAGAATAATCGGCCAATGTATATTAAATTTTTACATACATTGGTGAACATCGTTCGTACCTCGGTCGACTACGGGCCAATGTTTGGTGGAACATCAACCGGTGATCGGCAGTTATCTGTTGAAGACCATTCAACTCCCCGATGACCTCTGATTCAACGGATATTGGACAATGTTCCGCAATACATCGACCGATCCTTGAAAGATGTGTTAGTGATGGGTTACAGATGAAGAGCGATGTGAGGCATCAGTAGAGACATCGCTGAAATTTAACTACGAATTATTTCCTACCGATGACCCCACCGATTCGCAAAATAGCCCCAGTCACCGTCCAATCCCTTGTGGTGCCCGGCCGGCAACCATGACATTTTCATCAAAAAACGCATCGGTTTCTCATCGTATACCCAATCGCTGGATAATGTGACTTATACTTTAGTGTGTAATAAGATATGTATTATGGAAAGATTTTTAATAATATTAACAATTTATTTTAATTAGAAAAGGGTAATTTGCTGGCGTGTCAGTCCTTCAGTTGTTTCTTTTTTTAGGGGGGGGGAGGTAAACAATTTTAAACAAATTTAAACTGGTATATTCTCTTTATTTGGTCAACATATAACATTCATGATTAAATTATAAATGTATTATAAAAAGTAACACAACTTCAGGCACAAACCTAAATGAGAAGATTTCGGATGATCTGGGGTGAATACACGTATGTTAATATACACGAAGGATGCTGAAGAAGGGACTGTGTTTGATTTTCCCCCTAGCGACGGAAGTGTATGTCTAATATATGAAATATAAACGGAGAAGTTTAGAAATAAGAAAATTGTTTAAAATGTATTGATATGATATATCCATGCGGTATTTAAACTTTAAGTAATGAACACGGGTACATAAAATGTTCTTTAAGGGGGGGTGTGCGGCCACCTTTAGTGCAGTGAGAACAAAATGTTTAAATTTTTCAAATGTCTAAAGTACTTTATATTTTGATCAATTTTAAACCCTTATGATAAAGATACAATAAATATGCATAACTGAATGCATGTTGTGCATATATTATCTATACTTTTGCAGAAAAATGCTTTTGAAATGCTCCTTAGAACTGCGCAGCTACAGAATTCAGCAGAGCCTTAAAAAATCCAAAAAAAATACGCAAAGTGTGCATTAATGTTCTCTCTACAACCATTTGTTGAGAAAATGTCTAAAATTTGCACTTTTAAATGATAATTTTTAGTTCAAAACAAGGTATCGTTTTCTTCAAAAAGAGTGTAAAGAACCCTGAAAGTAGTTCATTAATAGCAGCACGTGGTCTATTTTTAGCACAGAATTTTGTTTTCTAGACCTCTTCTTAATATGGAGGGACATAACAATCTTTAAATGTAGAAGAGAATTACAGTTGCAAAATATTTCAAATTATATGAACAGTTTTAAAAGAGGAATTGTATTATAGTGTGGCTTGAATTAATTCATTTAGTATTATTATCGAACAGTTGTTAAATAGTGTACGTATTGCAATAAACTCTTTGATTCCAGGTAAGGAAAAAAGAGCACCATCAAAGTTTAAAATTAAGAGTTTGTAAGTTTGCCACAGATAACTTATAATATCTATCAAAAGTTTAATTATCACCAATGAAACACAAAGAAATTAAACACATAAAATCGCTATGAAAAACCTTGTGTTAGTATCTACTAGTACGAGGGGTGATCAAAAAGTTCTCGAACTATCTCTATATCTACAAAACCACAATTTAGATTGGAAACAAATTTGGTGCACACTCAACTTCTATATATAGCATATGCTGAATAATGTTTTGCTCACAATGTGAAAATGATGTCATTATGCAGCTGGTACTTGTGACGAATAATGGTTGTCTCCGTGAAACTCATTCAACAAACGACTAAAATATTTATGGTATATCTTAAAAATGCCTTTGAAGTAACGTATAAGAATTTGCGCGTAGTTTATTTAGACAAATGACTTCCTAATAATTAAATCAATGATTGGATAGATTGTTTTAGTGAAGGAAGGCAGATGGTTGAATATGATACTTGTTATGTTGCCTGGTGAAAGCAAGTTTGAAAAGGGGTTTGTTTTTAAATAAGCAATATGCTATCAAAGATTTCCAATTTACACTATGAAAAATACTTGAATATTTCAATAATAATATAACTATCAAATAGCTAAGATATCGTTTACTTTTAATCACCCCCCCACGTATACTCCGTCAAATAAACATTTACAATTTTCATTACAGCGGAGCAACATTTCAAAAGGAATAAAATCTTTCAGAGTGGGTTAGGAGATTTAATGAATTAATTTCTTTTTCTATTTGCCCATTTTGTAAAATTTACAATTTTACAGAGTAAAGAAAAGAAATCAACATAATTAAATATTTTATACCATCTTTAAAATGACGTTTGGACCTCCCAACTCAGGGAAAATTATTGGGTCCGTATTTATGGTGAGAAAAAAATTCCTTAAAATTTGAACATATTTGTTGACGGAAAAAAAATATCCTGTAATTGGATGTAAAATAAAATTGAGTTAGGCCATTTTTAGGCAGTAGATCGGGAGAGAGGGCAACCAAATATTTTTATAACAAATAGTCTTATAAGGCTAGTACATGTTCCATCACATACTTAGTATTACAATTTTTTTTAATTTTTGGCACTGTTTTGAAAAAAAGAACATAGGATTTTCGGAAGGGGGGGGGGGTAGTCTCTCATTTTTTTGCGAATATAGACATAGCATATGCAATGGACCTTTGTTTGCAAACATTGTGATTGTTTCTAAATTTCAAAGAAACAACTCAACATATTTTTCAAGCTTCGTATGTTCAATGAGCGAGAGCTTACAACGTAGTCAACATAATGAGACATGATGCGTTTTTATGTCAAAACATTACACCATACAATGTGCTGGTCATTGCAAACAATCAAGCTATTTATGTGAGGTGCCTGAAGGAAATCCTTTAACTGCCTATTTTTTTTCTATCTAACTGCTAAACAAAATAGACATATGTACCAACTTTTCGAATGTAAGACATGTAATTGCATTTTGTTTTTCATGCACCGCATATTGTTTAACATTTTCAAATTAAATGCTAAGCATCTTCCTTGCAGTGTCCCATTTCAAAATAACTTCTATCGCCACAGAAAAAAGACCCGATGAAAACACATATGTTTAGGGCATTTTTTAGCTTTTTTCTTGAGTTTTAAAGAAACCAACAAATTTGCAAGACTTGTTCCACGAAAAATTAAATATAATCATGTTAATAAACGCATCTATCCACAGCAAATATATGCACATGTCAACCACATGCTCAGTGTAATAATATTAACTAGGAAACTCGAGCTGTGAACAGAACAGTTTTTCCCGATTTGCTGGAGTGGGGTTAAAATCGCGTTTTTTCATTAATCAGACGAAGCGATGCAACAAATAAAAATAGTTAGTAATATTACCTAATGATTATTACTTGGTAATTTCTTGTCTTGATGTTATTATGGTCGCATTTATTCTAAAATCAATGTTATTCGAACTCTGTGTAAAGGGGAATGGCGGACGAAATCAACACATGGCCTCAGGAAGACACACATATGAAAAATCAAATTTTCAAGAATTTTAGATAATGACAAGAAAAAAGCGAAACAAACGGTTGTAGCCATATCATCAATGAATCAAACTAACACCATTTTCAATGCATTTTTCATCTCGTGAATGCTGTAGCTGCGCAGTTCTACCATGATTAATTTCCTTCTAATTAAAACAAAATAAACTTAACTATTTACTAATTTTGGCCTCTAACAGTAAGTAACAAGTGCATTTACACTTTGAGTAACTTTGGGCTAGTTTAGACGAGTATTAAGCGTATTCTTGGCATTTCTTATTTCACACCAGACTAGATCCAATTGGCTTGTACATCCCCCTTAACAGGCACAGAGTTTTTGAAAGGGGACAACCAGTACTATACACTGATAGACATTGTTCGAGGGCAACATGCGTGTTGGACCAAAAAACCAATTTGTTTGCCTCAGGCGTGTATGCTGAAGGCGAACATAGATTTGCTCGAGGGGTCGACAAAACGCATTTTGTCCGAGAACTTATTCAATACTTGTAAATGATTTGTAATAATTTTATTGTTTATTCTGATATTGTCATAAGAAATTTTGATCACTTTCACTGCAGTTTGAATTTGGTT